CACACCACCGAGCAAAGGAAACATTAGCACCCAACTCGTTCATGTCGTCAATGTCTACCATACCATCGACACCAGAAACGATGAGCTCAGAGAAAAACCTCCTTGAGAAAGCTTGCTATACATCTTGCAGAATGACGTGAACAACATTCATCTCGCCTTTCGATTGCTGCTGGGAACCTTTCAGTTCACAACTCACGCTTGGTCTACGATATCAATAACTTCTACTGGTCACCAGTAATTGGTGAACTCCAGTGAATTCTACAGTCTAATCCTTTCTAGATTCCTTAGTAGTGTCAAGTCATGCGACCTTCAAGGCCTGCGCTTGTTCGGTTCACATACCTACCTACCAAAGCTCGGTTCCATGCTGGGACGAGACCTGTACAAGCGCTTTTGCCTCTCTGCTGAGAGCCTCTTCTACCGATTCTCGAGATTCTGCTCTTCAGCTCATAGAAGCTAAGCGGTCTGCTTACTGTGACTCTGTTCGCTCTAAGCTCGTTGGTGGTCGACTGTCGTGTAAGCAGTTTCATCGTCTCGCTAAAGAACTCTCGCTGAGCACCAAAGCTAAGTCTTGCGCTATTCCCTCTTTGGAACTGAGCCCTGGTGTTCTCACTACTGAAGATGCGGCTAAAGCCGAAGCGCTGGCGAAGCATTTCAAAGATGATACTTCCCCCGTGTCCGCCCCCTTCAAACTTGGTGATAGGATCGCTGACGCACAATCCATCACAACCTTACGTGTTGACCCTTGTGATGTTAGGAGTGTTCTTGAACGACTGAATGTCTCTAAAGCTGCAGGCCCTTCTTGTATCAGCCCTAGGGTTTATCGTGAAGTAGCTGGTGTTCTAGCCCTCCCTCTCTCAAGACTCTACAACAACATCCTCCAAAAGGGTTTATGGCCAAGGGCTTGGAAGACCTCCAACATTTGCCCCATCTACAAGCGGAAATCCAAGCGTGATCTTCGCAACTACCGTCCAATTGCTCTGCTTGAAATCCCCTCGAGGATTTTTGAGCGTATCATAGCTCAAAAGTTGGTTCACCATGCCATTACCATGAACATCCTCGCCCCTGACCAAGCCGCTTTCCTACCTGGCCGTTGCACTGGCGATGTGATGTGGGAATTCATGGCTGACGCAATTGGTGCTATGAACGAACGCAGCTGCTGGCAT